CCTGTGTATTTTGAGCGACTTGATCTGTCAGTCTATTAATTGTGGCTGTCACCTGGTCAAATTTAGCCGCTTGTTCATCAGCTTTCTTGTTTAATGCTGCCAGCTGGTCCAATATTTCTTTAGAGACAGGGTCGAGCCCTCCTGCAGCCATATCCCCAAAAGCTGGCTGTTTAGGTTGTCCTTCTTGCAGACCTGTAACAATTGGGACAGATGATCTACGTGGCTACACAGGCAAAGTTGATTGCAACAGTTCAGTTTGTTTTGCTTTCTTGGCGGCCCTTGTTTTTGCTGCACCACTCATTCCACAGCTGTCCAAGTATCAAGGTCAAATTGTAAATCCCATGGGAAAAGCAATCCAGAATGTAAACATCCAGACGTAAAAATTCCAAAACAACCAGCAGTTCTCAGAGACTAAAAATTCCACAATCCAGCAGGGGGAGCTCCCCAGAAATTAGGGAGAAGGATAAAAAGTTTCCACCATTAAATTCCCAAATAAAAAGTTAGGTAAAATCCAAAACAAGGGGGAGAACCCTCTAAGTTCACTTTAAACTGCAGAGAGTAAAAGTTCTTAACAATGGTGCATGCAACAGTTCCTTGCTTGTAACTTACAAAGTAGCCCGATGTAACTTTATGCTTTTATATACAGTTACCGCAGTCTGATGTTTCTTTGTATCTAGACAGCCCGAGAGCTGGGTTTCATAACTTTGTAATCCACAAGAAGAAGAGAGAAAAATCACAGTCTATGTCCACTTATAGTGCAGTTTTAACTTTTTTTTTGACTTTTAAACGATCAAATCCGAATTTGCAAGGTATATTCCAACTTCTTTTAAACTCCCTTTCAGCGCTTCCGCTTTAGTAGTTCTTTGCTCAATACTTTAAGCGGAGCCGGAAGACGGACTTCCTTTTTAACGTCTCCCGCTTTCAGCCGAATTTCACAAATTTAAGTTCAAAAGTCTCGGGTTTCTTACTCACGAGTATGTTGTTTCAAATCGAATGTTCAAAGAAGAAAGGTCAGCGCTCATCAGCAGCAGCCGGGCGGCTTCACTTCCGCGGAAAGAGCGATGAACTCACAGCACCGCTACCCCCTCCACGTTCCGGAGCCCCTTACGGGGTCCCTTCTTCGTTTCCGAGGTCGCTCTTGGTGCCCGCCGAGTCCCACGACCACAGGCTCACTCTACCTGTGGTTTTTCTTAGCGGGTCTCCGCTCTGCCGTAGCGGACGACCCTTTTCCGCGGAGCCCCTCTTCACAGAGTAAAGAGGACCGCCATTGCCGTTTCGCACCGCCTCCGGAAGTCCGTTACCATTGCGAACTTAAAGGGGAATGTCTATAAACTCTGCTGATATTTTGGGAACTTGTTAGCACAAATTGGATTAGGATATAATCTCACAATATATCCTCTCCTGCACCCCTGAACATTCCCACAAATGTCAGGCCTTGAACATCTAGCAATGAAATTCAGCTTGCCTAGAATGCATCTATACACTGTAGTGTCAGAAAACGCTTCAGCAGTACCGTCTACCTGGTAACCTGTCACCATCGGTGTGTCTGCTGGGTTTGCATCAACCAAATTCAAACTGGTTAATACATCAGCAATTTTCTGTGTTTGGTGTACCAGAAAATTACCTGCTTGGTCCCTTTCCACCTGCAGAGAAAGATAGTTGGATACCTCACCAAGATCCTTCATGTCAAAGTGCTCCTTCAGCTGAGCTAGGGTGCTTTGGTACAAAGCCTGATTCTTCCAAAACATCAGAAGATCATCAACAAAACATAAACAATACAGTTTGTTTTGCCCCTCCTCCTTGACAAACACACATGGATCAGCTTTGCCCTGGTGAAAACCTAGAGAAAGCAATGTCTCAGTGAGTTTTGTGTTCCAACATCTGGCACTCTGCTTGAGACCATATAAGGATTTCCTCAGTTTACAGACCATTCCCTTCTGTATCTGCATTCCATCAGGTGGAAGCATAAACAGCTCCTCCCCCAAAACCCCATACAAAAAAGCTGTATTAATGTTGTGATGGGAAACATGCAGTTTCTCCTCTGCAGCAATCTTGAGCATCAGCCGAATGCTCTCATACTTGACGGTGGGTGAATAGGTCTTGTGGTAATCCTGTCCTGGTACCTGTGAAAAACCTCTGGCAACCAATCTGGCTTTGTGTCTGACAACCTTGCCATTCTGGTCTGTCTTGGCCATTTGCTGCCAACCAGCCTCATTCCTGGGACTACCGGTACCAGCTCCCAAGTTTGGTTCCTATTCAAGGAATCAACTTCAGCCTTCATGGCATTAAGCCAAGGCTGAGCATCTTTAGAGGTCAACTCCTGAACCTCTTTGAAGCTTGAAGGTTCCCACACCTTCTCTGAGCTACTAAGAACAGCAGTTGCTGTCTTAGCAAACTCATCAGCAAATCTCTTTGGAGGTTTGCCTCTTGTGGCCCTTTCAGATCTGTGTACTAGACGCAAGTCTTCTTGACTCATCTCCTCCTTCTTAGGAGTAAAGTGACCAATGGTGAACAGTGGTTCTTCCAGTTCATTGTCAGATGCATCAGATGGTCTGACTGAGGCCTTTGCGCTCTTGTAGTCTGCTGTGTCATCACTGTCGCTGACTACAAGAAAGAAGATTCCACCTAAACCTTAGGAAGAACTTCCTAACAGTAAGAGCTGTTCGACAGTGGAATTTGCTGCCAAGGAGTGTGGTGGAGTCTCCTTCTTTGGAGGTCTTTAAGCAGAGGCTTGACAACCATATGTCAGGAGTGCTCTGATGGTGTTTCCTGCTTGGCAGGGGGTTGGACTCGATGGCCCTTGTGGTCTATTCCAACTCTATGATTCTATGACATCAGCAGCAGCGCTGCCCACTGAGCTGGAATCCGAACTCTGATCATCATCATCATCCTCAGCTTCCTCTTTTACCTCAACATTATCTGTTTTTTCACATCATCTTCATCTTCCTCTGGGTAACTCTGGAAAATTCCCACATTTTCCCCCCACTTAGGATTGTACTCAACATTCTTTGTGAACTTAATGGACTTAGAGTCAGTCATCCATACCCTGTATGCACCTTTTTCGTACCCCATGAACAAACCATGTGCCCCACGCTTCCCAAGCTTGTTGCTCTGTGGGGTGTGTACCCACATGCCAGAACCAAAGATTCTCATGTGCTTGACGTAAGGTTTCTTACCAAACATCTTCTCATAGGGAGTACAACCAACAGGTGATGACAGTCTCCTGTTATAGGAATAAACGAACGTGTTCAAAGCCTCCCCCCAAAACTTCTCAGGGAGCTTGGCATCATGCAACAAGGTTTTTAGGCCTTGAAGCAAAGTTTGGTTTGCTCGCTCAGCAAGTCCATTCATCCATGGCGATCTAGGCGTTGAGAGGTCATGCTGGATTCCCTTCTCAGTCAGGAAAGCTTCAAACTGCTGAGAAGTGAACTCCCCGCCCCGATCAGTAAAGAGACAGCCGATACGTTTACTGTGAGCATTCTCCAACCAAGCACAGAATGCCTCGAACCTAGGAAACGCTTGTGATTTCTGCTCGAGCATAAACACATGAATGTACCTGGAAAAAGAATAAATTAGAACCATGAAGTACCTTGCTCCACCCAAAGAGGGCGCAAGTGGACCAACCAGGTCTGCATGGACTAGCTGGTAGGGTTTGGAAGCCTGCCTGCTAGACTCCTTGCCTTTTGGAGCAACCTTCACCTTGTTCTCTGCACAAGATACACATTTCATGTGAAACTTACAGGGCTTGATGTTCAAACCCTGAACCAACCCAGGCATCCTGGCCAGCGCCTGCCAAGACATGTGACCAAATCTTCGGTGCGCCTCGTGAATACATCCTGCATGAAGAACTTTGTTAGTTTGTGCAACACAACAAGATTCAACATTAGACACAGCAGCACCATTGTCATCATAAGTTATACAGAACAAACCATCTATAAACTTTGCGTGCAAAATGTCCTCTTTGCCTTTCCTGATGACACAGACGCTCCTCTTGAAGGAAATCTCAAAGCCACGCCCAGTCAGCTGTGGGATGCTGAGCAAATTGTCTGCAGAATCTGGAACATAAAGTACATCTCTGATGGTTGTGTGCAGACTTGCCAGTCTCACATTTCCGACTCCTGCAATTCGCAACGTCTTTCCATCAGCCTGGTGGATCTCTCCATCTTGAGGCGTGAAGGAGATAAATAGATGCTTATCTTTTGATAAATGCCGTGTAGCTCCCAAATCTACAACAAATCTGGCTTTGGCCTTTGGAGCAGCTTTTCCAGCAAGCAAAACCTTGTCTTCCACCGGCTTGGGCTTCTGCTGCTTGCCCCCCTGCTCCTGGCCATCAAACTTGCCTTTAGCCTTTGGTGAAGCTGTGCCAGCAAACAAAACCTTGTTTTCCACCGGCGTGGGCTTTCCACCCCCCTTCTGCTTTGGGCCATCTGCTGGCTTCTGTCTCTGTTTACTTCTGGCCTTCCGGTATCTGTGAGGATGACCTTGGCTCTCATGAGAAACAGAGCTCTTAGCTGCCGACTCCTTGGCTCCCCCTGGAGGCTGGAACGCTGCCTGGGATGACGTCACAGTTAGCTCCCCCTGCAGCTTGCAACCGGTGCCCTCGGCATCCCTGCAATCACTCTCGATCTGGGAAACAGCCAGGACCTCCGATGCAGTCAAACTCTGGGCTGGGATGACCGGCAGATGGGCTACTTTCAAAGCATTCCACATCTGACGTGCTGTCGTGTTGCCAGCCAGTGTTACAATTTCCTCCAGAGAGACGGATAAGACTATGGCCCTTGAATCTTGGGCCCTCCATCTATCTGTCAGAGGAACTGGAGGGGCTTCATACACAGTATGCCACACTCCAAACTGTCGCAGCAAGCTCTCACAGCATATTGCCCAGGTCTCATAATTGTGGACATTCAACTTTGGGCACTGAGTGCCATCATCTGAAGCTTGTAAAAACTCCATTCCAGGTTTTTACTTGAGCCGTGAGCCTTTATGCCTTCAAAAACACCTTATCTTGGCAGCTCATAAATCTTGAGGCCTGCTTGGCTCGACTCCCAGGCTAAATTAGCCTGCCGGACATCAAAGGCTCTGCCGCGGCAACGAAAAGCCTTACTTTTCTCCACATACCTTTCACAGTCTTTCACAGTCTTACTCTCCTGTAAGTGCTGTGAATCTGGACCCGAAACCTGTTGTTGGGATACTGCCAGGGAGACAAAGGCCATCATGCCCCCACGTCGACTCCGGACGATCCATCAACCTCCCGTAGGAACGCAGTATCAGTCAATTAGCGACACAAGCCTCAGAAACAGCTTTCCACATTCCAAGGACTTGTGCACTACCTTTGCAGAGTTCGCACAATGAAAGATGCACTCAGGAGAGCATTATTTACAACTTTATTTAGCGTTGGTCAGAACAAAGAAAAAACATGACTGCTTGCCTGCGTGTTCAGGCACAGAGAGAGAAACAAAAGCTATGTACAAAACATAAACTTTCTGTGAGCCGGAAGTACGCAGACTGTGACTCAAACAACAGCCTGCTCCCTGTTTAAGGTGGAACAGAAATATCCTAACAACCCCCTATGAGAAGCTGTTTAAAAAACGCCCTAATCTGAAATACCTACGCATTTGGGATTCAGATGTAATTATGCATTATCCCGCTAAGCAGAAATTGGGTGAGCGTAGTGTTCAGGGGAAATTAATGGGCTACCAGCAGGGAGCGTACAGAATTTACATACCAGCAAGTGGCAAATTTCATATTACCAGAAGCATGATACAAACTGTAAATTGGAATGGCTGTTTTCCAAGATACTAACGGTATAAATGACACTGAGGAAGAAGAGGAAGTAGCAGCAGCAGCAGCAGCAGCAGGAAATGGTGCTTCTGAATTAATGGAACAAGACAAAAAGCCTGTTGAATCTGATAATCTGTTTGATGATTTAAAGTCATGGGCACCCGAGGGGAGGTTAGATTCTCTTGAGTTTTCTGACCGTGAGCTTAGCCTACAGGCACCTCTTCAGTCTGACAATGATGATTTACAACCTGAAACTAGTAGTTCACTTAGTCCCATTAAGTCTGAGGAGTCTGACTCTCCTTCCGGACTGAGACGTTCAGATAGAAAGAGACAGAAGCCACAACGTTTTGCAGATGAACATTTAAATACTGTGTATGCCAATAAGGCGGTTTTTGAGCCAAAAAGCTACAATGATGTTCAGAATTTACCTAAGCACCAAGTTGTAAATTGGTATAAAGCTATCAACTCTGAGATAGCTTCTTTAAAAGAGCATAACACCTGGTCTCTTGTACCACAAACCCCAGATATGAGACTTATTGATTCAAAATGGGTTTAAGAAAATGCAAATGGGAAGGATACGCCTATGGTGTGTGGTTTCACCTTTACAGGTGAAGATAAGCCATTTCCTAACAAAACTTTGTATCGTTCTGCTATAGGCAAGCTAAATTTCATTCAAAGAATCTCAAGACCAGATATAACTTATGCCTTTCACTTTCTGGCAAAATTTGTGGAAAAGCCCACTACGCAATGTTTCTCTGCTCTTAAGAGAGTGGTAGTGTACCTTAAACATACCAAACATTATAGGTTGCAGTTTACATCATGTATTGACAAAGGTTTTGAAATTTTCTGCGATGCATCTCATGCAGTGGAACAAAATAATTGCAGGGATGTGTCTGGTATGGTGTTTTGTTATAACGGTTGTCCATTTGAATGGAAGTCCCAGACACAAACCATTATTTGTCTCTCCACAACAGAGAGTGAATTATGTGCATGCGTTCAGGCCACTCATGATGTGGAATGGTATCTGCAAGTATTTGCAGACCTACAGATGAAAGTAACACTACCAGTAAGAGTTTACCTTGATTCCCAGAGCGGACTTGCTATCCTGTGTTCAGAGACCAATACGCAGCGCACTAGAGTCTTAAGGTTACGTTTACAGTTTGTAAAGAAACTAATTGCTGATGAAATGATTGTATTTCAATATGTTCCAGGTGACAATCAAATTGCAGACATTTTTACTAAAGCACTTCCAAAGGTTACTCATGAAAGACGTGTACAAAATATGCTTTATGATTTTGTTCCACAATGATGAACCGCAGGGGAAATGTTGAATGGTTTCTTTAAATGTAAAGGTTCATCATTGTTCCACCAGTTGTGTATGTCTTTCAGGGGCCAGAGCAAGGGCCAGAGCAAGATAACGAGACCCAGCTTTACAGCTGTGAAACACAGCAGGTGCTGAGTTGTATTGATTAAGCTGTGTCAGCATTTGGGTGTAGTATATAAGGAGCAGCACCTAGCTCTTCCGTTACCCTGGGGGATGGGTTGGTGGTTGGGTCTGGTTTGTTGTTGGTGTATTTAGGAGTTTTTGTTTTTGTTATTAAAACCTTGTTTAAGTTATTTTTGAGTCCCTTTTTAACGCATGGTCTCCCCAGCAAGCTCTCTGCAGTGCTACTATACTGCAAATAGCTAACACTGGCACCTCTCAGGTGGGCACTATTGCCATTATAAGAGAACGAGGGAGGTGAGTTCATGGTGAGTCCTGGCACCTCTTTTTCTAGAAAAATAGCACTGGCTGGCACCTTCCCCTGGGATGGCCATGCCATACAGCTTTCATCTAGTTCACACCTGAACTTTCCAACGCAATACGATTTGAAATTGCAGCATTAAGCCTTGGTCACTCACATCAAAGTCCAGATGCTCGGAGACATATTTCAGGAGTGCGTTGGTGGTCTTGACTGCTCTTTGCCGCTCACTGATTTTTGTGGAGTCAATCCAGCCTTTTATGTGCTGCGAGAGAGAAATCATCGTCATCACATGGAAGGACAACCCTTAATCCAGGTTTGCAAATTCACAAAGCTTCATAGAGGGGACAAATTGCAAAAAGGGGTTGTTTTGTAAAGGAGAAAGTTTGCTGCAATTTGTTTATTAATAATAATAATAATAATAATAATAATACCCCACCTCTTTCCCAGACAGGGACTCGAGGCAGCTTACAAACAAAACAAGAACAACTAAAGACACAGAAAAAAGAAGCCATTTAAAAAAAGCATTAGTAGAATTAGATATTAATTGGCTCTTGGGTTGCTTTTGTTTTATTATGCATTTTCTGTTCTGATTTTGTATTTTTATGTTGTGAACCGCCCTGCAATCTGTCATTTGTGTGTTTGTGTGTGTGATAATTGCAACAATACAACATACACCTCACCACAGCCATAGCAATGGAATGCAGGAAGCATCCTTAGACCAAGCCCAGCCATTGTTCCACAGGTAATGAGGACTGGCAGTTGGCCCTTTTGGGCTTTCAGGCAGAGAGCCTTTTCCCAGCCCACTGAGATGCTGAGATTAACACCACAAAAACATTAAACCTCTTTCGCAAGCACGCCCTTCCCCATCGATCAGCAGAAGTTACATATCCTTGTTGCCTGCCAGCAAGCATTGCCATCACTTAACAGAGCCACTGATTCCATGCACTACAACCAGGAGTTGCCTCCCCATTATTTCTTCATCCAAATCTCGGATTCTGCCAGTCAGCCTCAGCTAATTCCATGTAGTCCATCAACTGCGTCTGCCAATCCTCCAGCGTGGGTAAATCTTGTGTCTTCCAGTTCTTTGCGATGAGTATTCTTGCTGCTGTAGTTGCATACATAAACAAAGTTCTATCCTTCTTTGACATTTTCTGGTCCACCATACCCAGCAGGAAGGCCTCAGGTTTCTTAGAAAAGGTATACCTAAATACCTTTTTTAGTTCATTATGTATCATTTCCCAGAAGGCCTTCACTTTTGGGCAGGTCCACCAGAGGTGGAAAAATGTCCCTTCTGCCTCCTTACATTTCCAACATTTGTTGTCGGACAGGTGATATATTTTAGCTAGCTTGACTGGGGTCATGTACCACCGGTATACCATTTTCATAATGTTTTCCTTCAAGGCAGTACATGCCGTGAACTTCATTCCGGTGTTCCATAACCTTTCCCAGTCTTCAAACATTATGTTGTGTCCAAACATCCTGTGGCCCATTTTATCATGCCCAAGATATATAACTACCTCATCCTGTGTATTCCATTTAAGCAGCAAGTTATACAATTCTCGATAAAGGTCTTAGTCTTTTGCGCTCTAACAATTCTGTCTCTAGTTTCGATTTTTTCCACTGGAACCCACCTTTCTTATCCATTTTTTAAAAACCTCTTTGAATTTGAGCATAATCGTAACCAGTCTCGCACCTTATCTTTTTAATTTTGTCCTGGCTCTGCAGCTTCCAATTGTCTTTCCCAGGCCCACCTGGGAATGCTGAGGACTTGAACCGGGGACCTTTGGGCATTGCAAGACAATGCTCGTCCCGAGCCACGGCCCTTCCCCATTACGCCATCAGCAGAGGGACATATTCTTGTGTGCCTTGCACAAGCATTGCTAGCAGAACAGAGGGCCCACTTGACCATCAGCACCCACAACCAGTGAGTTGGCCACAGATGCCCCCCCGTGCAATCATTTCAAGAGGTCTGTCCTCCGGCATGGAGCTGCTGCTTCCCCCTGCTCTGACACCTTGGGGCTCCCTTACCATTAATATCTCCTGCAGCGTCTTCAGAGAGGGGGCCTCTGACAGCAAGCTGGTGAGCATGTTGAGCCAGATGTACACGGTTTCTTGATAACAGTCCTGGAAGGAGAGAAGCAAAAGCACTTAGAAGCTGAAGACCCCCATGGAAATCCCATATGCTCTGGAGCCTTCTAGTCCAAATTTGTAACAAAGCTTATGCAGGGGTTCAAGCACGGCACACAAAGAGTCATAAACATCAAACGTTTCTTGATGTATGTAAGGTTACAGGTCATGCGATATAAAGATACAGGACTCCACACTGGGCTCAACTTCCTTGGGGTGTTCCAAGGCAGAGGGCCGCCTTGGTGGTGGGGCCCACCCCGTGGAACACCCTCCTATCAGATGTCAGAGAGATATATCATTATACTTCCGTCTGAAGACATCTGAAGGCAGCCCTGCATAGGGAAGTTTTAAATATTTGACGTCTGGCTGTGTTTTAATTTGTTGGAAGCCGCCCAGAGTGGCTAGAGTAACCCAGTCAGATGGGCAGCATATAAACAAACAAGCAAACAAATAAAATTAAATGCAGCGTAGGAGGGAGGCATGAGAGTCACAAAATGCAGGCATGCAGGAATCATACGTGGATGCATTCTAGCAAAGGTGAAATGTAATAAATATGGAAACATGATTAAAATCAAAAATATACACCCCAAGTCTCTGGCTGTTACATCATTGTGATGGGTCAAGTGTCTCAGGCAGCATTCTTTGCGGCTTACACGGCTCAGACTCTTTGCCCTCAAATCCTTTAACCTGGCAACCCCATTTTCCTCCAAAAGCAGAAGGTCCAGTCACCTGGCTCGGTGTTGCTTTGACCGAGCTCCCAGCTTTGATCTTCATAACCTGCAAGGATGGCAACTGGAAGACCTTCTGGGTGATTTTTTGTACCAGCTGAGAGCGGGTCAGAGGGTCCATGTATGGTCTCAAGGCACTGAGAAGAGAAAGAAGGGGAGAGGAAAGGATCAGCACCCAGCAGTCCATAAACCTGGTGAAGAAATATGTACTGTGCCTGGCCGTACTTACGTCAGGCGAATGATGTTTTCCATTGCCTCGTGCAGGTTGGTGATTGATGCCATTGGCTGCTCTCTGATAACCTCCTGTGGTGGGGAAGCACACAGCATGTCAGGGAACTGGAGGCGCCATCCCTGCCACCACCACACCAAGCCCTGAGGTGTGCTCTCTATCCAGCCCACTTGACAACTTCTTTGCAATTGGCAAGTGGGTCCTCCTAGAGGAGAAGAGTGGGCTTCCTGGATCTGGGAATAAGATCCCTTTTTCTCCTGGGCAGAGCTCTACCCCATAAGAACAGCATAAGATCAGCCTTCTGGACCAGGCCAAGGGCCTATCTAGTCCAGCATCCTCACAGCATTCTCGCAGTGGCCAACCAGACGTCTGTGAGAAACCAGGGAGCAGACCATGAGCCCAAGAGCCCTCTCCCCGCCTGTGGCTTCCAGCAACTATATTCAGAAACATTGCTTCCTTCCTCTGTGGAGGTAGAACATAGCAATCATGGCTGGGAGCCATCGACAGCCCTCTCCTCCTGGGAGAACCTAGCCTCTTTTACTTAGGCGCTGGTGACAGCCTGCTGAGGTTGCCACAATGTAGGGCTGCCTTTCAAGAGGGTTTGGAAACTTGAGCTGGAGCAGAACGTGACCACCCAGAAATGGTTTGGGGCCAGATGGTCAGAACATGCAACCCAGAGCTAGACCTACACAGCTATTTTTAAGAAAAAACGCTCTGAAAAGAAACCCCAGGAGATTCCCCCTCTTTTTTTCTTTTTCTTTTTACTCACTATGATGCAGAAGGTGAGCTCCTCTTTGTGGGGGAAGGTGACATGTCCCACATTCGACTGCACAAGCGCCTTGGTTGTTAAAGTTGCTGCCTTCATAAAGCTCTTCTTCAAATCCTCGTTCTGAAAGGAGAAGGGATTTTATAAAATTGAGTTTGAATCAAAATCACAAGGAAACATAAAGCCACACTGACCCTAACCTTAATTCTAATCCTTACCCTAACACTAACCCAATCCAAAAATTAACCCAGAAATGGTCTTGTTAGATAGTTAAATTCATGTTGAATTGCTGTTTTAGGGTTTCTTTAAAAAAAGTCTGGAAAGAATTAATCCATTTTGCATTACTTTCTATGGGAAAGCGTGCCTTGGTTTGGAACACTTTGGTTTCAGAATGGATTAAGTTTGAGAACCAAGGTACCACTGTAATGCCCCATCTGGTCCTAAGGGTGGAGCCAGTATACACCCCAGTCTACAACCCTTTGGTGGATGAAGCCAAAGACCCTGCCCTAGGGCACAGTCTGAAGGCATGTGGTGCAAGGACCTTGACGGAGCTCAGGAGGTCTGCTCAGTGCCTGGATGGTGACCACGGGGGAAATGGTTGCACACCTCCTGGAGTCGTATGACAGGAGAAAGGCAGGATATACCGTATTTTTTCGTGTATAAGACACCCCCTATTAGGGGGGACTCCAAATTAAGAAAATGGGGGGGGGGAGGATTGCCCAGAGTTGCTGAGCTTTTGGAAGGGAGGATTACCCACAGTTGTTCAGCTATTTGGGGGAGGGGATTCCAAAAATTGCTCACCCGCTGGACCTATGCTGCCACTCACACACGTCGCAAAACCCACCTATTGTCTGTCCCTCGCCGGCAGAAACCGCCAATCGCCTTCCCAATTTCCGCAGCGACAGCCAGTCAACACCACCCCTTGCCGCAGCCACCAATAACACGCACAATAGCCACTGACTATCTCCGGCTTGCAGCGGCAACCAAACCCATGTCCCCCCTATGCACTATCTGTGTATAAGATGACCCTCATTTTTAAACATCATTTTTTAATAATAATAAAAAACACCTTGTCTTATACACGGAAAAGTATGGTATAGCTGAGAGAACAAACAACAGGAGTCCGTGTGATAATCATAGCCATACCTTCCTGCTGTTCTGGAATTGGAAGAGGAGCTCCTGTGTTAACTGGTCTATAAAAAGGGGGAGCTCATCCTGCCGTGCCCCGATTGCCATTTGCCCGCAGCAAAGGATGACGGTGATGCTGGCATTGGTCTCGCTAGTATTCTGGAGGGAAAGGATGGGGAAAGTGAGTTTGGGAACCTTAAGTGCAATTGGAGACAAATCACCATTTAGTTGGGACCTTTTAGCAGCTGGGAAAATATTAGTAGTCAGTAAGTTGTTGTGCGAAAGGTGGAGGGCAAAAGGAGAAGGGGACAACAGATGACGAGATGGCTGGACAGTGTTCTCGAAGCGACCAGCATGAGTTTGACCAAACTGCGGGAGGCAGTGGAAGACAGGAGTGCCTGGCGTGCTCTGGTCCAGGGGGTCACGAAGAGTCGGACACGACTAAACGACTAAGCAACAACAAGAAGTTGTTGTGCAGACTTACAAATTTTGTATTTTTTTTTTCTCCAGGAAACTCAAACTGCTGGCAAGCCAGGGCTCCCCCATCCTATATATGTGCATCGGGTTCTTCCTGCCTAAATGTAGAGCCTGACATTTGACCCTATTGAATTTCATCTTGTTAGTTTGGGCCCAGTTCTCCAATCTGTTAAGGTTATCTTGAATCCCGATTCTGTCTTCTGTGGCATTGGCTACCCTTCCCAGTTTGGTGTCATCTGCAAATTTGATGAGCATCCCCTCAATTCCTTCATCCAAGTCATTTATTTTAAAAAAAAACGTGGAACAACAACGGGCCCAGGACAGAACCCTGTGACACCCCACTGGTCAATTTTTCCCCAGGATGACGAGGAACCATGAAGGTGTTCTCTTTGGGTTTGGTCAGTCAACCAGGGAGAAAGCGCAGGACAGTGTAGGGTAGGCTGACCACTGGTGCTCTTTTCCATGGGAGCTGCTTTTTTAAAATTAAAATGAACTGGGTGGATCTGCTCATCTTCTCCATAGTGAGGGTTGGGAAATTTCCTTGGTCATTTCCCAACTCACAGCAAAAATCCAGGGGTACCACACTCCTGGGTTTCATTTCTCTTGGATGGCAGAGCACAAGAGAGTTCAGGGCTGCGTTCAGGTGTAACAATAAACCAGAGGGCATCAACATAGGTTGGCCTCTAGCTCCCATCAGCCTCAGCCAGTATGGCCAGTGGTCAGGAGGGATGGGAGTTGCAGTCTGTAGCATCTGAAGGGCACCATTTTGGTTACCTCTGTGATAAACTATGGTTTATTATTGTGTGAATGAGCCTTGGACTCATCGGCTCCTGCTCCCTTCTCCTCTAGCACAGTTGCAAAAAGGAGACCGGAAGCTTGAGGGAAGTTAACTGAAAGTGGAAGGAAAAGGTTCTGATCCCCTTCCAGCTGGGTTGGAGAATTGGAGAGTCGGGGGCACATGACCCCAAGGCCCCCTCAGGTTATGGAACTGTTAGATCCGCACGCAGTTACTATGCCTTTGTAATAATTTGCTTAATTGACAAATATATGGAGGTGAACACAGAGAGTGACACTCAACTATGCTTTGCTTCAAGTAGACCTGTTGAAATGAATGGGCCTAACTTAGTCATCTTCATTAAATTCAATGGGTCTACTCTAGAACATAGTTGAATGGGGCCAGCAGGCACTCCCGTACGCAGAAGAACCCTTGCACGAGAGCAACTTGGGCAGCTCCCCTGCCCCGGGATGCAGCTGAAACCTCTCCCCTCTTTCTCTCTGCCTCTCCCAGCCTGCCGACTGCCTTCTCTCTTGGATTCTGCTCTCTCCCCTCAGTTGGAGAGGTGTCCCCTCTTCCAAACTCTAAGAGGTTCTTCATTCAAAGCTTTCTGACAGCAGAACACTCTCCCTTGGGAGGTTGTGGACTCTCCGTTGGAGGTTGGATGGCCATCTCTCAGGGATGCTTGAGCTGAGATTCCTGCATTGGAGGGGGTTGGACTAGATGACCCTTGGGGTCCCCCATTAGCTTCCACTATTGAAGAAATGCCAACCAACCATCTGACAACCAACCTAAAAACATGGGCCAGTGTACTTTTGTATTGCGTGTACTCTGGGGATGACCAATGGTTTCTAACGATTCCGTTTGACTGACTGACTGAGCCAAGGGATCAGATCAGAGCTAGGATCTGGAGCCACAGAGACAGGACTGCTGGAGCCCACTTCAGAAGGATGACTGAGACATACCCACAGAGGAAGTTGTCTGGCTTCCATACTGAGAGGATGAGCAGATCTAATTGCCTTTTTGGAATGGTAAGGATCCCATCCCTTGAAAAAGAGCATATTTGGAAATGGGGCAGGATTTGTTCTTTTCCAACACAGCTCTGTTTTCCTAGATCAGAGGAACCCAGAGGCTGCTTCACATGCTTTGGTGTGGATGTAAATAGCTGCTAAGGATCCAATTTGCCAGGATCTTTGTCTAACCATTGGCCATGCTGTCAGGGGCTGATGGGAGTTCCAATTCAAAACACACGGATGGGGAAGGGGCACCAGGCTGGGGATGGCTGACCTACACTCTTGCTATGCTCCTTCCTCACTTCACACCCTTACCTCAGACGTCTGAGTCTTCCTTGCAATGGCTGCGCGGCCAAAATCCCGCACTGCCATCAGCACCTGGGAAATATGGGTGCTTGAAGCCACACCGATAGCCTCAGAAATTCCCTGGAGAGAATGAGGCACGTCAAACATGTCGTTTTCTTGATTGCAATTAGTGATAATAATAATAATAATAATAATAAATTTTATTTATATCCCACCCTCCCCAGCCAAAGCCGGGCTCAGGGCGGCTAACAACAATAAAATAGTACAACATTCTAAAACATTTCATTATAAAAATTAATTAAAATCAATTAAAATGAAATTGATGGCAACCATTAAGCTAAGCTGATCATGAGGGATGGAGGATAAATGTGATTCTGTAAGCAGATTGCTGCAAAATGTGGGGAACCAAATTTAAGAGTGGGGAAATGAGACACTTAGAGAACCAATTTGAACAGATCCTTTCATCCCGGATAATAATAGGGGTGGTTTGAAGAACGATATTTCTGTGGATTCTGATGTGAACTGACCAGACCACAACTCCCAGACTCATGTGCAGCTTGAAATGCAAGGATGCTTGCATTCTGGACATTTTCGAATCTTGTGATAACAGTTTCTTGGCTGCATTAAACACCCAAACTACATTAAAATGCATCATTTATTACACTGGAAGTATTTGTAAAATCCACCCCTCACCCAAAGGGCGCCAAGCAGGAATATGCCACCATCTAAACCAGGGTGCTCGCAATTTCTCATAGCCAAGTGGGCCACAAGAGTAGTTCAGCACAGAACCTGTGGGCTGCACACTGACTTGTCATGTGGGAGAGGGGAGCAAGGCCAACGTTTGACACACACGCCCCGGCCTGCATGCTGCCTTCCCAAAGGTAGGCAGGTGAGGCGCTGGGTTTTGGGAAGGAGGCACGAGGCTCTGGTGGGACCTAGCGCCTTCCCACCTTCTTGCCAAAGGTGGGAAAGAGCTAACTGAGGACTCTAGGACCCTGACAGATCACACCTGCCTCCTTCCCCAAGCCCAGCACCTCCTTACCCAGCTTTGGGAAGGCGGTGCAAGGCCTACAGGTG